GACGATCAAGCGACCGTAATTCACGGTACCAATACATTCAACCCCACTAATAATTTGCAATAGGTTTGGCTCTTTATTCTTCATGCTTTGCCTAGCAACATAGGCGCACATGGATTAGAATATGCATCAGTCGCTACTTATATTTCATAAACTTGATTCTTTCTTACGTTCAAAAGAACCAAAGTAAATAGTACCCAAACTTTGTCCTCACAATATCATTCCCTAAGAAACCATGAAAAAAAAAGTCAGAGCAAAAAAGCTTCTCCAAAAGATGTGAATTCGTCTACCCTAATGTACTCTACCTCCCATTATTCAAACCAGAGTCTGATACATCATCCCCTTGAGTCATCTCAAGGTTTCGATCAGAAAGCATACCTCGGAATAATCAGTTCACATTTGAAGGAGGCTTGGTTTCTTTATCAGGCTGTATGTTGTTAGGGAGGTTAAGCTCTGGTGGAGTTTCTCTCACAATACCAAGCATCGAGTCATACTCCTCGTCTTTTCGACCAGACTTCTTGCGTAAAACCTTCTCGAACTCAATCGCATTTAATGGTTTTGCATTCTCTGCAGCGTGAGCCTGTGCGAGGTTTGTGTAGTTTATTGCTGACGTAGAGAAAATATCAAATTCCTTCTCTTTGAGCTTCCTGAGGAACCTTGCTGGGTTTCCTCCCCATATCTGAGTCATTACAGACCAATAAGTTAAAACATGTTGAATCAGGCAGCGAATATTGCTGTTGGAGGAACTGAATAGGTCATTATGAGATGCAAACATCCTTTGGCATTCAAATGCAGGTAAACCTTAATTAGAAGAATATTTACAGATCTAAGTAGATTCTATAAGGCCATCTGAAAAGTGGATAAGACACGACATGAAACTGTATTTCATGTTCGCACTCTTTCCTCAATACTCTCTCAGCATTAGAGATGATTACCATTGGAAGAAAAGACATTAACAATGTTAATGATATAGCATATGATATCTAAGTAGCAATAGAAGTATGTCAGCACAAATGGGTTATGGATTTTCAGGTAATCAGAAATGTTTACGCAAAATCATACCTCCCCAGCTGGGATTCTGGTGTTTTGTCGTACAAGGGCACCAGCAGCAACAATGCTGTGCTTTTCAACAACAACCCCGTCAAGAAGTGTTGCACCCATCCCGATTAAGGCCTCATCCTCAACAGTACATCCATGTAAAACAGCGCTATGACCTGTTACACATCTAGTTTAAAACTATATCCCAAATGTTTCTTGGAAATGCATGAATATTGGACAGTTGCAAATAAACAACAAGAGATTCCCACTTACCAATGGTTACATTGTCTCCAATGGTGGTTGGAAGCACCTTCCCGCTTAAGTTTGATTTTGCCACATGCACAAGTGAGTTGTCCTGAATATTAGTTCCTGACCCAACAGTAACGGTATTCACATCCCCTGCCCAGAAAAAAAGAGAGCAAGTTTAGACTGTATGTTATTCCAGTTTTTCCTGGTAAGGTACCCGATGGCGAATGACATAACAGCAATCTAGACGAAAAGGAAGCTTATTCCACTACCATTATACCTAAGGAAAGGCATCACAAATAACAATCCAGACTAGCCTACACATACTTGCACTAAGGATTCATCTCAAATTCGATACACTGGGATATCATACACCCATTAGAATAACAGCCAGTATCATCGAGATATGACGTAGTAATACTCGAGTTAAAGCTCCTTTGTAAATGCTAGAAAGCTCCACATTAGGCAGTCTTATACATCATTAAACCATAAAAGAAGAGTAAAGAACCGATATTCTTTCGCTACTTTCTACAGTACCAGTTGACTCAGCTAAGAATACAGAAGCAGATGATTTCTCGAACAAATTTTCAGTCCCTATATAAGAAATCAAATCAGATAAACACCAAACACTGAAGAGCTTCTAGTAGCTTTCTCACCTCGTAATACACATCCATACCAAATGGAGGACCCTCTTCCAATCTGAACATCCCCAATAACTGAGGCGCTTGGTGCCACAAAAGCTTCCTTATCCACAATCGGAGCCTTATCAAACACATTCATCAGTGTCCGATGCCTGGATACTACAGATAAAGCCACAATTACATAACTAAGTAGCAAAAACGCATTCCTATAAGAGTTATTAATCCCTTCTGCAATTCAAATCCAGAATCCCTAAACATCGATTCCAGATCTCTAACCTAATCAGAAGAGCTGAGTAACCCAAGCGAAACTCCTCTCTCGTACAAATTCGAAAACGGAGTGAGAAAACTAGAGTTGTTTTGAAGCTTACGTTGTTCACGGAAGTAATTTTTGCCTTGAAGACGACAACCGAGGCGATCGAGAGCTTGACCAGTCTCACGGATCCAAAATCCAACTGAGTAAAATGCTCGGCCTAGGGTTCCCATTGCTCGTTGATCTTCCTCGAGTTCACAGGTGAGGACTCTATAGTGAAGGAGGAAGACGAAGATGGTCGAATGTGAAGAACAGAAGCAAAAAAAATGGCGAAATAGGAATTTTTTCAGTGTTTTAAAAACCGGACCGGACCGGTCCGACCGGTCTAACTGGGAATCGGTTATTTGGCCGGGTCCAAGTTGAGTCAAACTCCGGATTTAAGTTAAACCGGTAAAATGGGTACAAAACCGGTGAACCAGTTCTATACCAAAACCGGGTTTCCAAAATTTAAATCAAAATTTTAAGTTTTTAGTCAAAAAAATTTAAACTATAATTTATAATCACTATTAATTTACTTTCAAATTTATTTTTATTTTGTATTTTAAATAAAAACAAATGTTTTATATACAAAATAAATTAATTTATATATTTTAATAATAATTATTACATGATAAATCATATTTTATATTTTATTATTATTATTTGAAATAGTCTAATATATTATTTTTTATAATTTTATTTTCGTAAAGAGATGAAGTTATATAAAACAACAAAATGTAAGAATATTTTTTTTTAAAATTAGTACATTATCTACTTTTATAAAATGTTA